CCTTTATCGCCTTTCTTCTTCTTTCATGGCGTCCACCAAATCGAGTCTACCTCACACAAACCCCAAGGTCCCAACCGTTGTGACCGCCACCGCAGTTGCGAGCGCAGCTAGCCAATACACACGCCATCGAAGTGAACTAACCTCTACCCCCTGCGTCTTTGCAAGCGCTTCCCCCTGCATCAACACATTAAGTTGAGGAGCAATCAGCCATCCCAGCAATACCACTACCAACAGTACTATTACTGCAGGCCATGCTTGCTCCACGCCATTCAAATCTCCTGCCAACCAAAATAGCATCCCATGCAATGCTCGCTCAGGCGCCATAGACAACATAAGCATAAGCAAAGCCCCCCACACAGCGGATAGTGCCACCCCTGTTAGCAATAACTGAGAGGCGCTCTGCAAAGGATTAGTCCATGACAATGCCCAAGCACGCCGCACCAAAGCCTGCAACAAAAACATCGCCACCAACGCCCCACAAAACGCCGCCAACTCCACTGAGCCACTGGGCAAAGCCAACAACATCGCCCCCAAAGCAAAACTAGCCGCCCCTCCCGACACACCTAAAATATAAGGATCCGCCAAAGGATTACGCAGCAACACCTGCAATAACACCCCCGCTACAGCCAACAACCCTCCACTACCAAACCCAGCTAATGCACGAGAAGCCCGCAAATGCTGCACCACCTCAACCGCAACCCCATCACCACACCCCATCACCACACCCCAGCAATGCCCACCACACCTGCACCGGAGCAATCTGCGCACTACCCAACATCAGCGAAGCAAAAAACACCGCCCATGCAGCAAAAGCACACAGCAATAAAAGCAAAGTAGTGCGAGATCTAAAATAAGGAAGGAAAAACATGAAGGCTTAATAAAAAAGAAAGGTGAATAGAATAGAAGAAAATCCTTTCACAGATTTTTCCAGCTTGTCTCTAAAAGCCGAAACCTATATGATGCGGCCATCTTGGGTCGTTAGCTCAGTTGGTAGAGCAGCGGACTCTTAATCCGTAGGTCGAGCGTTCGAGCCGCTCACGACCCACCAAGTACCGCAAGGGTTTGCGCGATTTCATGTTTTTTGTATAAATGCAAACGTGAAAGAAACGTGAATAGAATCCCTTTACCCTCACTTATGCGGCATCCAACATCCCATTGAGCCTAGCCGATGCAAGAGCCAGATGGCGCGCAGAAAAATGTGCGTAACGTCTCACCATTGAGGCAGACTTCCATCCCCCAAGTTCCTGTAATTCAGAAAGCGTGGTGCCTTTCATGGCTAACCAAGTCGCCCAGGTATGCCGTAAATCATGCCAGCGGAAATTGGTAATACCCACGTCAACCAATGCTTTGCGCCATGCGCAAGTATTGATTTGTCCAATAGACTGGCCGTTATACGTAAAAACGCATTTAGAATGCTTGCCTCTTTGACTATCTAATATAGACAGAGCTATCTCGTTGAGTGGCATAGGTATTCCCTCACCTCCCTTAGCTTGGTCTGGATGAACCCAAGCAGAACGTTCCTCCAGATTAATTTGTTCCCACTGAAGGTCCAGAACATTACGCTGACGTAAGCCTGTTGCGAGTGCAAACATCGCTACAACACGCTGATGATGAGGTAAACGCCTCAATAACGCTTTTGCTTGCTCCACCGTCAAAAAACGTACTCGGCGTTTTGGCTCAGGATAGAGCTTGACCTTAGGAACTCGATCAGTCCATTCCCACTCAAACATCGCTCGTCGTAAAACAGACCGAATCAATGCCAAATAGCGATTCGCCGTTGACGGTGATGCTTCTTGCTTTTTTATCCTAGCAATTTGCTCAATTTTTGCTTTGGTAATATCTGCAAGAAAAACGCCGCCCAAATACGCATTTAGCCATCGAAACTTAGACACGTCTTCATGGAGAGTCTTCTTGGTAGCCTCTTCGCACCACTTTACTACTGCCGCATCCCATGAATACTTGGGTTTAATGCCTAAGCGCCGTTGCTGCCACGCTTCGTGTTGTTTTTTATCTCCCCATTCTTTGGCTGCTTTACGGTCGGCAGTTTTAGTAGAGAAGCGTAACGTTCCGCCGTCTGGGAGCGTGATAATAGCCCACCAATATTTGCTATCTGGTCTTCTATAGAGTGACATACTTTCTCCTTATCTATAGAGACAGCGCACTTATATTGTGCACGTATCCATTCACGTAAATCAACATCAATAAACACCCAACATTTTCCAGGTTTAGCCGCAGGCAACTTACCACTCGCTGCTTGTGATCTAACGGTATTAACATGCATATGCAACTCATCAGCAGCTTGCTCTGCATCTAAGAACCTAGGTAATAGCATGGGATTTGGTGTAATGTTTTCTTTGTCTCTAAACATTTCTTCCATACCTTTTTTCTCCACCAATCTTTTATCAGTGTGTGACTGGAGGCATTTGATTAACACAACCCTATACAACACGAAGCTATCGCATAATTTTTTTCACCATCACACACACCGCTTTTTGTGTATTCGTAGTGTAGTGCGCTATTTTTAAATTTAGAGCGATGCTTGTATCCAATTTGGCCAATTAGATTGTTTTTATTTCACCTTATAGGCTGAGCATCTCTCTGCATGCCAAGATTTTTTATTCTTCTTGTATTAGCCTGTACCTAAATACATGAAAGTGCTTTTCCCCACATTGAATTTATGACGACTTCTCCCCATTTAACTGAAGCAGAGTATGAATGGCTCCATGCCATCATGGAGCGTTTCGACGCTCCACGCGCAATGAACATAGAAGCACTAGATGGTTTCTTTGCAGCTTTGGTCTGCGCGCCTCATCTTATAAACGTATACGAATATCTGCCTGAGCTATGGGGCGGAGAAATGACAGCAGAAAAAATTTTTAGTGATGATCAAGAAGCTCAAAAATTCATGCGGTTAATCAAAGGCCATTGGAAGCATGTTGTCCATAGCTTGGAAACCAGCGATATTTTTTTGCCACTATTTATCGAAAATGAGGAAGGTAAGATTTGCGGTAATGATTGGGCGATGGGGTTTTTACGGGGAATGGAATTAAGCCGTTTGGGGTGGGAGACATTACTTGAGAGCGAGGAAGACTCCGGTGTATTAGTTCCTATTTTTGTTTTAGCCTACGAACACCACGATGATCCTACCTTGCGCTCGCATGAAGAATTGAGTAACCCCAAAAAACGAGAAGCATTTATTGCACAATTAATAATAAGTGTTCCACTAATTTATCAGTATTTTGCGCCTCATCGATTGAAAGCTATGCGCAGTCCCGATGCAGCAAATAAGGACCATTCACTTTCCTTAGAAACTAAAACGTATGTTCAGTGCTGTTGTGGATCAGGAAAAAAATATGAAGACTGCTGTGGCAAGGTGACGGTACATTAATATGTAATAGTTCCGAATATTGCGGCGGACCAAATTACTCGCAACCCTCTGAATTTAGCAGAGGGGTGCGCGTTTGCGGTAATTTAAGCAATAGATTGGGCCTGCAATTTCAGTCCTAATGCATGAATAAGCTTAAGTATGGTGTCATAACGGGGCTTTGCACCATCTGTTAGGGCTTTATAAAGGCTTTCGCGCCCAAGATTAGCACTCTCTGCTACTTGCGCCATGCCGCGTGCACGGGCAATATTTTTAAGCGCTATTAAAAGCATGTTGGGATTGGGATCTTCAAGCGCTGCGTTGAGGTATTCCGTTTGTGTCTGGGCATCATCAAGATACTCTGCTGGGTCGAAAGGGGCTATTTCAATGGTCATGATTCATTCCTTTTTGAGCGTCTTAGCCATTTTGATGGCCTGCTTGATATCGCGTGGTTGGCTAGACTTATCTCCTCCTATAAGGAGGAGATATACCTTTTTGCCGCTACGCATGTAGTACACCCGATAACCTGGTCCAACGTGCACGCGCATTTCAAAAACACCGTTGCCTACAGCAACATAATCACCAAAATGCCCTTCAGTAACAGCATCTAACCGTTGAATGATACGAGCTTTGCCAATTTTGTCTTTAAGTTTGGTAAGCCAGGTATTAAATTCCACTGTGCGAAGCAGTTTGTTCATATCCTCTATATTATCCGTATGGATACAAAATATCAAGTGTATTAATATTTCCCAACCCTCTGAATTTAGCAAGGGGGTTGCGTGTTCGCGGTGATATTTCCTAGTGCGTGTCTTACGCTCTCAGGCATGGGTAAAGAGCAAGTATTGAGTTTCTGGGAGTTAAGCGAGAGCAAATTCGTGATATCACTGTCCAGCTTTCACTGGGATAACCCAACCTTTGGCAAGGCTGTACTGTCCGATCAAGTTGGAACTATTACATTGCACGTAGTCGGCATTTGCTATTTCAGCACGCAACGCTTGATTATCCTTTTCGCATAAAAGCGCCCAATCAAAAGTGGTGTCTACCACGGCTTTCCTTTTCACTCCACATACTGTTTCTCGACGATGGGTAGGCATGAGAGCGTGCTTCATTCTAATGTTGACTTTCTGCGATTTGGCTTTAGTTTGCGGCAGAAAGGGCAATCAAGAAACGTTCTTTGATGACGAGAAGTGAAATAGGCGCACTTGCATACGCTGCATTTTCTAATCTGTGCTTCTTCATTGTGCATCTCTGTGGCAAGACACCACGCATCTGTAATATCCAGAGGCAACCATTTTGCTCCTGTCATACCATGCAGTTCCTTTCGCATAACATAGTACCTACCGTATGCTTGAGTGAGCGCTTGGAGATTAATCGAGCAGTCCGTCGATTCCTCCCGCAGACTGATATACAGCTGCATCAAAATCGATGCCTGAATCCTGGAGGTATGGCTGCTGATTAAGGAGGAGCTTCCCCGTAATGCACGCGATTTGCGCTTTAGCACATAGCCTTCAGATTCCAGTTCTTCATAGAGTCGCCGCAATCTTTTGTAAGTCAACTTTGTCTGTGCAAGTGCGATGGGCGTTACATATCCTGCTAGTACCATATGCCGGGCTGTTATCCATTTACCCAAGCGGCTTGGCCCACCGTTTATCGCTTTTTTTTCTATTTGAGAAGATTTTTTCATCTATATGCCTATACATAGCTTATTTTCTAATATCTCCGAAAGATTGCTGGGCCCTTTTGAGAAGTAGGTAGGTGAGATGTTTTCCTCTCATAATTTCTTCAATGATGGTATCGGAACAGCGTAACGAAAAATGCGCTTTTTCCGTATAAGCAAGGTCGAGTAATTGGTTGTAGCTTGCTTTCGCAATAGCATGCGCAAGCTGCTTTGAAATCCCAAAACTTACCGTGGCTATAGCGATATCTTGATGAGCAGTCTGATGTAAAAGTAACCAATAGGCTGTATGAAGTAACGGGGCCTCTTGATGTATATGGCTTAGAGCATCATCAGACTGCGCGAGTCTACGAAGAATGACCTCATCCTCTGTATCTAGCTTAAGCGACAGACACACGCCTGACGCAAGCAGCTTCAAAGTTTCTATCTCAGTCCGTGTAATACACGACACCATATGCTCGCTAAGTCGAAATTGACATGCTGCTTTAGTCGGGTTTAAGTGGCATAGGTCTTTGAGAAACTTCCACACACTTAAATCAAACTGGTAGAGATGGGCATTTATTGCTTCTTCTCCAATATGCATTGCTCGATAATCCCATTGCCTAACCACCTCTCCATACAACATATCCTCTCCTTTTTTAAAGAGTGAACTGCATATACAAGCTTGGCATCTATCCCATATTGCTTGCAGCTTGTTCAAAAAAGTACCCTGTAAATCAAAGGCTGTGGCTATCGACGTCTAGGTAAAAATAAGCACGCACAATCCCATTTGCCGTAAACAGATTCGCATCGTGATCTCCGGTCAGAAAAGTAAATTGGTATTCGATTTTTAAGTCTAGTTTTATGCCTCACGGTTTTGATACGTTTAAATAGCCTGGTAGGATGGATTACTAACAATCCTTCTTATTAAGATATAGGTTAAGAAAATTCGCTGACTAAGGTTTAAAACTGAACCTATATAGTTTAATTTTTAGTGGATAGATAAAAAAATTGAAGAAATCAAAGC